TCGAGATGATCACAAACATCAGGTGATCCCACCAGATAACAACCTTGTACTATCTGGTTATCTTACCAACTGGTACCTTATGTGCGAAAACATCATTCGTTCAGGAACTGTTGTAACTGCTTTGTAGTTTCTGTTGAAGTTCCTTGCAATCTCTATTTGTAGTTGGTTCATTTTTTAATGTTCACGCAAACACTCTATGGTCTTACTGTTATATATATATATATATATATATATATATATATATATATATATATATATATATATATATATATATATATATATATATATATATATATATATATATATATATATATATATATATATATATATATATATATATATATATATATATATATATATATATATATATATATATATATACACATATGTAATATTCAGAAATTTCAGTGTAATTTCAAACGCCGCGCCATTGGCGATACTGAGTTCAAAGTCGTCCGAGGGAAGAGAATGCTCCTGCACCTAGTGAGAGCTTTTGTAACTAGGCCTATACGATATTAAATGTAGTTTACCGAATTAATAATGATGCGATTCATGAAGTTAAGGGACTATTATTGAATTTGAAATTATTATAGATCATGTACCAGTCTGAATAATGTTACGGGTGTCCCAAGAAAGTTATTAGTAGGCGGAAAATATGTCACGTAGGCCTAAGCTAACGCCTTGAGAGGACACGAGGCTGGCTGGTTCTCAGTCAGACGACAGCGGTCGAACAGAGAGGGCAGACTGTGCGTCAGAGAGGACGAAACGGTCACGTGGTCTAGTCACCTGTCTTGCGCTATTGCAGTATAACGAGTAAGTCTCATTCGATCTCAGACAGGGGTTAGATAGGGCAGTGATAAAGTTAACAAGAGCTAACAGTGAGTTTATTTCAGGGTTTCCGTCAGAACCCACTTGACTGCGAGGGATTGACTGAGGGATTGACTGGGAGAGATTGATTGCCGTTTGAGACTGCCGTTGATGATTGATGATTGGCGATTGTTGCAGTTGGAACGATCAGTGCAGGCTTGTCACTGGTTAGCCGGGTTAGCACAGGATCTCTTGAGTGAACGAGTGCTCCCGACAACTAAAACGATACGGGACCAGCATCAGCATTGGGTGATCAGTTCTTACCACGTGGGTGCACAACACCACGTGTCCTCGGTCAGGTAGAAGTATTACCTACTGGCCATAGTCACCTGATGGTGTTCTCTCTTCCCGCCCATGGACGCACTGAGAGTACACTGAGGCAATCTGAGTAAATTAATGGTCACACACTGAGACCAGGAGTCTAGGGGATATCTAGAGAAACATTTTATCTCCCTTATTACGGGTGTATGTTGAGTTGGGTGAAGCATGGTTCACGGGTATGGGTGGACCCACTAACATCTCAATAATAGTGATAATATTTTTGTGTGTAGTTAATACCATTTTTTCAGTTACTGATTTTATCTTGACATGTGTAGTTTAATATTTCTTAAATAATTTTGATAGTATTGTTTTTTAATATTGTGATTTAGTTCCTTTAATGCATTTAATTTTTCTTTATAATTCCGATCTCAGGCATAACATTTGTTGAGTGCCCTGAAGGCCTATCTGCCATTGTTCTCAATTTTGTTGAAAGTTCTGGCCTGTTTCATGTGTGCAACCAACCTTTAATATTTTGAATTTATTGTTGTCTAATGTTGCCTGAATTTCTAATAATTTCAATATCATGTATGACTTTATTCCCCAGAGTAGTGTTTTAGTTCAGGTTAAGAGGTGCTGTGGTGTACCATTTGTGTTGTAGTTCAGTCACAGACGCTTATTGCAATCATGGACAATTAATTTTGTTAGTGAATTTAAGTGTTCTTGTGCTGGTTCGGGATTTACTCAAGGGCGCTTCCACTGTAATTTCCATCTAATAATTAATAAACCCCAAGTTTATTACATATATATATATATATATATATATATATATATATATATATATATATATATATATATATATATATATATATATATATATATATATATATATATATTATAACCAAAGGAAAGAAAAACACGAGTTCCCAAGCGCTTTCGTGTAATTCACATCTTCAGGGGTGAGTACAGTGCTTGGGAACTTCGTGTTTTTTCTTTCCTTGTGGTTATCAGTATATACCTAGATCACGCCAAGACCTACAGTGATTTACTTGCATATATATATATATATATATATATATATATATATATATATATATATATATATATATATATATATATATATATATATATATATATATATATATATATATATATATATATATGCAACCGGTCGGAATTTACTGGACTTTTAATTTCTCACTTGACTTTGGGTTTATTTAAGATTATTAGATGGTAATTGCAGTGGAAGCGCCCCTTTGAGAAAAATCCCGAACCAGCACAAGAACACTTAAATCTACTAAACAAAATGAATTGTCCGTGACCCGTTGAAGGATAGCGTCTGTGACTGGGATGAATGAGACACACTGTAAAATTTACACCTATATTCCCTCCAACACTACAAACGCAATCAAATAGTGGTACACCAATATGCACACTTCTTAACCTGAACTTGCAATACTACTCTGGGGAATAAAAGTTATACATGATGTTGAAATTATTAGAACCTCAGGCAATGCCTCATTTGAGGATAATAAGTTTAAAGTATTAAGAAATGTTGCTTGCACACATGAACCAGGCCTTAAGGGCTTTTAACAAAATAATATCAACCACTGAGAAAATGGTATAAAAAAATAGAAATTAAAAACTCTACAATGAATAGGCCTTAAGGGCACTGAACAAAATAATATCAATCACTGAGAAAATGGTATAAAAATAAAAATGAATAACTCTACAATGAATAGGCCTTAAGGGCACTCACCAAAATTACATCACCCCAACAGATGCACAATTCCTAACCTAACTTAAACACTACTCTGGGGAACAAAGGTTATACCTGAGATAGGAATTATAAGAAAATATTTAATGCACACAGCATACATTAGTAACTGAAAAAATAGTATTAAGTACACACAAAAATATTATCACTATTATTAAGAAGTTACTGAGTCCACCAATACCCGTGAACCATGCTTCCTAACCTAACACATAGGTTCCACCTGCACTCCATAGTTTTTTAAGGCACAACCAACAGGCACCCGTAGTTTAAGGCCCAAACCAGCCTTTCTCGACCTTGGAAATGTACCTCTAAGTTCCACTGGACTCTTGGTCCCAGTGTTTGACCCTGTATCACTCAGCTGGCTTCACTTTACCCCCAGTACATCCATGAACACGGAAGGGAGTGAACCACTCAGATCTTGTACAGTTGAGAGAAGCTTTAGCTTCTCGTTAGTAAAAGGTTTTCACTAAACTGCTTGAAGATATGTGGTATTGTGAGCTGAGGTAGAGGAGAGTTGATGACCCCAAACGATCGTCACGTCGTTAGTTGGGCACCTAGACAGCTGGGTTCACTCCAACTGTCACCATATTCAACAGGTGGCTCAAACCCAGGTCAGTGGACGGTCATACAGCTCGCTTCACCACTCGTGTCTCATACCGCCAGTGGACGTTATCATACCGCGTGGGGTCTACAGAACCTTGTTAATACTGATGTTAAATAAACGAAGGAACCAGGTCACGCGATCCGTCTCTCGTGGGTACAGCACAGAGGTGGTCCTTGACCTCTCTCACAGCTCCCCGGCCACCTTGCTCCCTGGTTCACGCTTTCCGGGAGTGACTTATTTACCAGACGATTACACTTAATTAGGACGTACGCAACATTTTCAGACTGGGAAACGATCTATATTTATTTTCAATTTAATAACTGATATTTAATTTCATGATTCGCGTCCCTATTAACTCGGTAAATTACATTTAATATCGTATAGGCCTAGTTCCACAACCTCTCACTACATGCGGGGAGCGCGGTCTTCCCTCAGACGACCTTGAACTCATCATCGCCAATGGCGCCGCGTTTGAAATTACACTGAAATTTCTGAATATTACAATCGACCCCTCCAAAAAAAGACAGCACTGTCCTCATGTGCTGAGAAAAACATGCATACGACCCCCCTAAAAAAATTTTCTAAGAAACTGCATCTCACCCCTTTAACGTGCTAAACGCAGCATTCCCGTCTTCTCTTCTCCCCTTCTCTCTCCCGCTAACACTCGACCCCCCTAAAAAAAGACAGCACTGTCCTCATGTGCTGAGAGAACAACTTAGAAACCACCTTCAACTCTGCCCTATTCCAACTTGCAGCCAGCAACTCCATTTCTTGCCTAGCCCAATTCAAAACCAACCAGAACATACTAGCTCCCCTTTTGCCTGGCCCTTAAGCTAGAGAACCAATGTCAAAAATAATACCAAATCCACATCCTGCATACTCTCCTTTGGCCTGGCCCTTGAACTAAGAGAACCAGTGTCAAAACCAATACACAGTCCAAAACAAACATGCTCTCCTTTGGCCTGGCCCTTGTACTAGAGAACCAATGTCAAACAATACTCAGTCCACACGAACTCTCTCACGTCTTCAACGATCGACTCAATTCACGTCTCCGAACCTCATGCCGGCAGACCAGCCCTCTGACAATGCACCAGTCCATATTAGTGAGGCCCTGGCCACTACAACCGTACACTCAATCCCGCTCATGACAGCAACTCAATCCCGCTCATTACAGCAACTTAGTCCCGCTCATGACAGCAACCACTACTCAATGCAAGCAATTTTCCCACTGAGCGCTGCTCCTGGCTTCCCTGCACAAGTGATACATGTGCGGCCAAATCTCCGCAAGCTCCCCCAGCACATTCATCCCCAACAACCCATCATGCGATTGCCCCTTACCCTGGGTCTCAATCCCTGGACAAACCAACAGCCCCACATCAGTGACTTCCACCCCACATACAACCATAGTGACCCGAATACACCCCACACACGGCACTGGAAACCCTGACGCCCCTTTTACCCTTATTCGAGTGGGCTGTAACACCACTCCTGCAGGCTCCAGCTCCAGACTGTAGCCTCTCATTTGCCGCTGGCATGAATGGCCTCGCTGGACCTCTCCATGGTTTAGCTAACCAAGAGGTACTCCTGTGGGTCACCAAGCTTCGTGCTGAAATCGGTGATGATGTCACGGAAGATCAGTTGAAGGAGTTCATCTGGAAGACCCTTAAATCTGTCCAGGTTGTTCCAGGTTATGGCCATGCTGATTTGCGAAAGACTGATCCTCGTTACTCGTGCCAACGTGAATTTGCCCTCAAGCATCTTCCTGACGATAAGCTGTTCAAACTTGTTGCCAAGTTGTACAATGTTGTGCCTCCAATCCTCACTGAACTTGGTAAGGTGCAGAACCCATGGCCAAATGTGGACGCTCACTCGGACGTAATGCTTCAGTACTACGGCATGACGGAGATGAACTACTACACAGTGCTTTTCGGAGTCTCTAGGGCCTTGGGCGTACTGTCGTCTCTGGTGTGGGACCGTGCTCTTGGGCTCCCCATCGAGAGACCGAAGTCCATGAGCACTGAAGGACTGCAGAAACTAGTCGGTGCCACAGCCGCCCAAGGAGCCTAAAGCAGCCGGCGACTCAGTCAGGATTTTTACAATTGCATGTAATTAACACATTTTTGTAAAATTATTTATGTGAATGGATTAATTTTATTAGAACAATGCATTTTCTGAAAATTCTGACTGCCTTTGGAGGGATTGGTTTAATTGTGAGATGCGCATGTCTGTGAACGTGTATGTTACGAACCAGTTATCTGTACCTATAGTAAATATGTCCACGACCACCTTGCATTTGCACCCTTGTGTTTTCCCAAATATTGATGTGCTGGTTCATATTTCAGCATTCATATTTTAACAAAATTATAACTTTTCTTTTTTATAAGAATGGAGGTATTTTAAGAAAATGTATTTTTTTGTAAGAATTTTTTTTAAAAGTGAAGAAATTGAAAAAGTGTTAGCTAAGCTTGTGACTGACTCATGGAATGGCAGGGATGAATTGGATGTGTATTCGTGGTGAATACACAACGCTTATTTACATTAGCCTCTTCTCTATTTATTTAATTCCTGCTCTTACCATTATTTATTCTGTTTTGCCTAATGTTAAATCACCCTGAGATACTTTCCTATGTTTAGTTGCAGTTGTGTCTTACTGCACTACACTACCTTTCACTCTATTTTAGTATTAAACATTGGTCAGTAGTCCTCAAACCTTCATTAATAATAACTACGTTCTACTACCATTTGTAACCGGACGGAATTTACTGGACTTTTAATTTCTCACTTGACTTGGGGTTTATTTAAGATTATTAGATGGTAATTGCAGTGGAAGCGCCCCTTTGAGAAAAATCTCGAACCAGCACAAGAACACTTAAATCTACTAAACAAAATGTATTGTCCGTGACCCGTTGAAGGATAGCGTCTGTGACTGGGATGAATGAGACACACTGTAAAATTTACACCTATATTCCCTCCAACACTACAAACACAATCAAATAGTGGTACACCAATATGCGCACTTCTTAACCTGAACTTAAAATACTACTCTGGGGAATAAAAGTTATACATGATGTTGAAATTATTAAAACCTCAGGCAATGCCTCATTAGAGGATAATAAGTTTAAAGTATTAAGAAATGTTGCTTGCACACATGAACCAGGCCTTAAGGGCTTTCAACAAAATAATATCAACCACTGAGAAAATGGTATAAAAAAATAGAAATTAATAACTCTACAATGAATAGGCCTTAAGGGCACTCAACAAAATAATATCAATCACTGAGAAAATGGTATAAAAAATAGAAATTAATAACTCTATAATGAATAGGCCTTAAGGGCACTCACCAAAATTATATCACCCCAACAGATGCACAATTCCTAACCTAACTTAAACACTACTCTGGGGAACAAAGGTTATACCTGAGATAGGAATTATAAGAAAAAAATAAGTGCACACAGCATACATTAGTAATTGAAAAAATAGTATTAAGTACACACAAAAATATTATCACTATTATTAAGAAGTTACTGAGTCCACCAATACCCGTGAACCATGCTTCCTAACCTAACACATAGGTTCCACCTGCACTCCGTAGTTTTTTAAGGCACAACCAACAGGCACCCGTAGTTTAAGGCCCAAACCAGCCTTTCTCAACCTTGGAAATGTACCTCTAAGTTCCACTGGACTCTTGGTCCCAGTGTGTGACCCTGTATCACTCAGCTGGCTTCACTTTACCCCCAGTACATCCATGAACACGGAAGGGAGTGAGCCACTCAGACCTTGTACAGTTGAGAGAAGCTTTAGCTTCCCGTTAGTAAAAGGTTTTCACTAAGCTGCTTGAAGATATGTGGTATTGTGAGCCGTGGTAGAGGAGAGTTGATGACCCCAAACGATCATCACGTCGTTAGTTGGGCACCTAGACAGCTGGGTTCACTCCAACTCTCACCATATTCAACAGGTGGCTCAAACCCAGGTCAGTGGACAGTCAAACAGCTCGCTTCACCACTCGTGTCTCACACCGCCAGTGGACGTTATCATACGGCGTGGGGTCTACAGAACCTTGTTAATACTGATGTTAAATAAACGAAGGAACCAGGTCACGCTATCCATCTCTCCTGGGTACAGCACAGAGGTGGTCCTTGACCTCTCTCACAGCTCCCCGGCCACCTTGCTCCCTGGTTCACGCTTTCCGGGAGTGACTTATTTACCAGATGATTAACTTGCTCCCTGGTTCACGCTTTCCGGGAGTGACTTATTTACCAGATGATTAAACTTAATTAGGACGTACGCAACATTTTCAGACTGGGAAACGATCTATAATTATTTTCAATTTAATAACTGATATTTAATTTCATGATTCGCGTCCCTATTAACTCGGTAAATTACATTTAATATCGTATAGGCCTAGTTCCACAACCTCTCGCTACATGCGGGGAGCGCGGTCTTCCCTCAGACGACCTTGAAGTCAGCATCGCCAATGGCGCGGCGTTTGAAATTTCACTGAAATTTCTGAATATGACATATATATATATATATATATATATATATATATATATATATATATATATATATATATATATATATATATATATATATATATATATATATATATATATATATGTATATTTCATGTAGATCCACAATGAAAACGTGGATAAGATAAATCTTGATAAAATCACACGGGAAAAGGGAAACAACGGAGCACCTTAGCTTTCGTCTTTATTCAAGACATCTTCAGAGGCAACTGAAGATGTCTTGAATAAAGACGAAAGCTAAGGTGCTCCGTTGTTTCCCTTTTCCCGTGTGATTTTATCAATATATATATATATATATATATATATATATATATATATATATATATATATATATATATATATATATATATATATATATATATATATATATATATATACATATCCCGCATATATATGCTGATAACCACAAGGAAAAAGAAAGCACGAAGTTCTCAAGCGCTTTCGTGTAATTCACATCTTAAGGGGTGAGTACAGACTAAAAAGAAGTACAAAACAGGGTATACAGTATATATACAGAGGAGAGTGAGATCAAGTCCACAGTGGTCAGGTATAGGTAATGACCCTACTAATCTTCACAAAAGCACTGCAGTGGTAGGTAGTCAGGTCAGAGGGTAAGCTCACCCAACCTTCTCACCTGGTTACAAATCTTCTTAATTACGAAATTATCCAATTTGTACATACCATTCCTCAAATTCATGTTGACGGATTCGGTATGTTTAATGAGACTAGATTCTATAATGTTCCTACTGTAAATTGAATTACAAGGTAATATTGAAGAGGCATTATCCCAGTCAATGCAATGCTTATTATCCCTCAAATGAACAAACAGAGCATTGGATTCCTGGCCTGTCCTAACACTATATTTATGTTGTTTAAGTCTAGTTACAAGATCTTTACCTGTCTAGCCTAAGTAAAACATATTACATTCCTTGCAAGGAACTTTATAAATGCAGCCACTTGTATTGTTGGGGGAGTTCTTGATTAACATTTGTTTAACAGTGCATGAGTTTTTAAATGCCACATTGACGTTCCAGGTTTTTAGTTGTAAAGGAATTTGAGAGAAATTTTTGTGAAATGGTAATACTAAGAGATTCTTATGGTCATGGGTGGGCTTGGGATCAGTTCTATAAAAAGATTTGTTAGTAATGTAAAAACATTGTTGAAAATACTGACTGTTTGACTCTATTATGGTGGGCAGAATAATAATGAATGTATGAACACACATTAGTAGGTTTTCTATAAATACTGAACTAAAATGAATGACCTTTTATGTGATGCTGCAACATATTCTGAGCTCATAAATAATCCTCTCAACACTGTTAACACCCAGTTCAACAAAAAACTTAAGTCTCTATTTTGAGGCAAAGTTGCTCTCATTAAACATCTTACTTCAACGTCCCCTCCACTGGCATACATGTACGGTTTAATCAAGACCCACAAGCCTTATAATCCAGCAAGACCCATCATTAGCTCAGTCGGGTCAATCTCTTATAAATTATCTATATGGTTAGTTTCGTAACTAAATCCCCTAGTTGGCAACATTTCTAACTCTAATATTAAGAATATTATGGATCTGGTTGATAAACTCAATAACTTACACATTAATTATGATTTTAAACTGGTCAGTTTTGATGTAACATCACTCTTTACAAAGGTCCCAGTTGATGATTTTCTGGAGTTTCTCATAGATTCCCTTGATAATATTTCATTTCCCGTCTCGAAAGATGACTTCATCGAACTCATCAAACTATGTATTAAGGATTGTAAATTTGAATTCAATGGAGAATATTATGCTCAAAAATTTGGTATGGCAATGGGTATTCCACTCTCACCTGTATTAAGCAACCTATATATGGAATTCTTTGAAAAGAAACTATTAAGTAATATTTTACCACCTTCAGCAGTCTGGTTTAGATATGTAGATGATGTATTATGTCTCTAGCCATGTAATGAGGACCTAAAAGCTTTCCTGCCACAACTTAATAACTTAGACCCCTCGATGAAATTCACTGTGGAATTAGAGCATGACTGTAAATTGCCTTTCCTAGACTGTCTGATCCACAGAATAGATAACACCTTTAAGTTCAGTATTTATAGAAAACCTACTAATGTGTGTTCATACATTTATTATTATTCTGCCCACCATAATAGAGTCAAACAGTCAGTATTTTCAACAATGTTTTTACGTGCTTTGAGAATTTGCAGCCCGGAATTCATTGCTGAGGAATATAAATATATCTATAATATTGGCTCGAACCTTAAATACCCTAGATCTTTCATAAACAAATGCCTGAACATTACAAAGAAATCTTTTTATGGAACTGATCCCAAGCCCACCTATGACCATAAGAATCTCTTAGTTTTACCATTTCACAAAAATTTCTCTCAAATTCCTTTACAACTATAAACCTGGAACGTCAATGTGGCATTTAAAAACTCATGCACTGTTAAACAAATGTTAATCAAGAACTCCCCCAACAATACAAGTGGCTGCATTTATAAAGTTCCTTGCAAGGAATGTAATATGTTTTACTTAGGCCAGACAGGTAAAGATCTTATAACTAGACTTAAACAACATAAATATAGTGTTAGGACAGGCCAGGAATCCAATGCTCTGTTTGTTCATTTGAGGGATAATAGGCATTACATTGACTGGAATAATGCCTCCTCAATATTACCTTATAATTCAAGTGACAGTAGGAACATTATAGAATCTAGTCTCATTAAACATACCGAATCCGTCAACATGAATT